CCCCACACACTTATACTTATTCTCCCCCTTCCTATAGTATCCCAGGTAAACAGATCCTACCATTAGTCTAGGAAACAGGATGACATAACAGCTCATATCTCCCATTCTAATCATTGTCTCACACATATCCTCATTATGCTGAATAGTGACCTAGATGATATATCCATAATGTATGAAGCAATAAAAGGCACTTTTCTAACAAGACCAGTTTTGATAAAAATAATCTAAAAATTTCAAACAAGCATTCAGCTAAGGATCTCTATGTTCACTTATTTTCTTGGTTGTAGAGGGACATTCATGAAATCATTATCATTCTTGCTACTTACACTTGGGATAATACATAAGGACCCTTGAGCTTGTTTTAACAATGATATGTACACTTCAACTCATCTTCAGTCTCGAGTACCATCGTGTACTAACTGAAGCTCATCCTCAGTCTCGAGTGTAGTCATTTTCTAGCTGAAGTATTTGTTGTCCTGCTGTTTACGTTGGTTGTTCAGGGAAGCAGAGCACTAACTGATTTTAAAATAGATACCGGGTGTTGGGGGACATTCTTATAGCTAAGACCAAACAAAAGATTGTTGTATTTTCACTTTTGCTTCAGAAATATTTAGGTAGGAAGGTACACAAAACTTAATGATTTGGTAAAATGTTTTAACATGACTGTAGCAGAGAGAGAGATTTTAATAGCTTGTAAACAAGATCATCATGTTTTAATAGCTTGATCGTCATGTTTTAATAGCTCGCTCGTCATGTTTTAATAGCTTGCTCGTCGTGTTATAATAGCTTGTTCGTTATGTTTTAATAGCTTGCTCGTCGTGTTTTAATAGCTTGTTCGTCATGTTTTAATAGCTTGCTCGTCATGAATTGGCCATTAACATATTAGGTAATTATAAGTGTTGACTTTGGACATAAAGATAACTATCTAGCAAACATACAGAAAACAAATATTTATATATTGCCCTCAATTTTAGCTGCATGTATTTTTATTTGTTGGAAAAATTATGTGAATGTTTATGTTTTTAAAAAAAAATGCACCTGTTTTACGTGTAGAATGATTCAAATGTACTGAAAGATGTTTTGACAGTTTTTCATTCTTTTATCAAACACAAATAAAACAAGTGACAGTTTTATCATTGGTGATTATAAGCTAGAGGGTGCTAATATAACAAGTCTTCAGTTAAGCCAGTCCCAGCTGACAAGGAGGAAATTATGTTGTTTTGAAATGGATCAGAAAATAAATATAAAGGCTATCATGTACTAGCCATCTTGGATTTACTCCATTTGTCCTTTGACATCACAGAATTTTGACAATTTACATTCTTAGAATGAAAAATTATATTTTAAATCATAAATATGTCCCATGGCTTTTCCAATGAAATAATGTTTTTCTCATTATAGCAATTAATAAGTAGGATATTGAATGAAGATTTTATCAAAACATTGAATATAATAGTATATCTGTAAAGTTAACTTTACCTGAAAAACATGTAAACCTGTTCATATGTTTATCATCATTTCTATGCAGGTGTGTCCAGGTGCTGCTGGAGCGTGGAGCTATTCCTAACCTTACTGATCATCAGGGGTGGACTCCCCTCCACCTGGCCGCAACCCAAGGTCATACAGACTGCTGTAAGATACTACTGGACTATGGGGCTCAGCTAACTGTCTACTCTAATGTAAGTCGCTCATACAGGTCACACACAGTCGCACACAAGTCTGTGTGGCACACACACTGATCTATCCACACAAAGTTACACACACACACTGCTGTGAGTATGAAGGTCGATTTGGAAATAAAGCTGATATCCCACTAGTTCTGATATATATATTTGTTATTCTCTGTCTGTGCTATAAAAAGATAACTATTCTCCCCCTTCAACTATAAATAGATTGTTGTTCTCCCCCTCTGCTATTAATAGATTGTTATTCTTCCCCTGTACTGTAAAAAGATTATATTCTTCTCCCTGTACTAATAATAAATTGTTTTTGTCCCTTTGATTCTATAAATTGAGTATTATCACATATACCCATCTGTACTATTCATAGATTTAATATTATTTATTCTCTGTACTATATAGATATAAATAGATTGTTATTATTTATCTATCCTATTAATACATTGTCATTACATGTCTATTATGTACAGACCAGCTGGACACCTCTTCACTGTGTTGTACACCCTGGACATGTTGACTGTCTCCATGCCCTCCTGACCTACGACCCACGGAGCCCCCACCGTGACCCCCCAGGCTCCCCTTCCACAGTCTCACAAAGTGATGGCACTGTACAGAGGGCTATCAATATGGCTGACAAGGATGGCTGGACCGTTGTATTTGTCGCTGCTATCAGACCATTGCCTGTAAGGAATTGTGTTTATTTTTTTTAAAATTAACTAAATTTACATGACTTACAGTTTGAAAGTTTTGTTTGGTAATATCTGTGTGGTATCTTTGTCTACAGTCATTTGTTAAAATTGTCTGCAAAGCAAAGTTGGCATAAAGGGATTAATCTTTTGGTGTTGTCTGCACAAATGGTTTCCATGCGATAACTCTTGAAGGAATTATCTAATTTGAAGAAACTCTCTTTACATACATATAGTATTAATTACGTACTGAAGATTCATTTTGACTCGAAATTTAAAACCAACATGTGGCCACATGAATATCCTGAAAAGTCACATGGTTTTTATGCTCTGCTATCTGATCAATAATACTTCAGCAGTTATGATGAATTTCATTCCTTCATCATAGATTAATTGTAACCAGCAATTATTTCATCTGAGTGTCTTGAGGCGACACATACGCTTCTTATTCTAGTGAATTCTTAAGGTTGGTTTATAATTCAATCAGTTCTGTACTGATAATGGGTATACCTAATTTGTTGCAGGACTGCCTCGCTGTTATAATGAACATGTGTGACGTGAACGTTCAGCGTAAGGACCGATGGGGTCGCACCATCATGGACGTTGCCTCTGTGGCTTGCAAGGAATTCATACAGCAGAGAAGTAAGAGTTGATACACTTCAATCAGGATCAAGTGGAAAATTTTGTAAAAAATATTTGAAGAAAATTTGAGTATATTTGTGTATAATATCTGAGGGTGATTATATTGAATCCCACAACGATATATTGAAAAAATCACAATGTAAATTTAAATTGAATGTGGTACTAAACACGAAAGTATATATGTGAGTCCAGAAGAATGTAGAAAATCTGGTCCATTCATAAATCAGCTTGACATTGTATCAATACGTAATGTGATGAGGTCACCTTTGCCAATGACATCTTCTTCAATGAGCCCAAGCATGCAGAATGTAAATATTTAACATTGCAAATCTGTTCTTTACTCTCAGCAGGTGGCAAGGACCTGCTTCTGACTGTGACTTTAGAGATCCAGTACCCTAACCTGTCCGAGGATTTCACAACCTTACACCTACCCAGCCAGAAGTTTGTCATCGGCAGCTTGTCATTGGAAGCTGGTCTTAGCTGGGCCGGACTTGAGACACGTCTTCAACATACCCTCACCAACTACTTTTCACAAATCGACACGGGCCTACGCACCAAACGCACCAGTCGACTCGACCCTGAGATTGCTATGGATAACGTCCAGTACAGTCTTGGTCTAGACTTGGAGTGTATAAACATGTTCTCCATAGGTTAGTTGTCCATCAACTACCAGATGTAAAGATGTAAAAAAAAAAATTGTGTTTCTGCTTTCATACAAAAATGAAATTGGTAAGTCGGTCAGATATTGTTTTTGTTTTTCAAACAATTTTTACAACAGTCCTTCCTTCAAAATGTCAAAAAGATAGAAGGATCGACAGAAAATGTTGGGATGCTATTTTACACCTAAGGAGAAGGGTCACAGATTCTCATTGTAGTTAACCTTTGATGAAGTTAAATGATACAGTTCACACTAATTACATGATGTATTGTTTCACAGGTGGTCACAAATGGGAACTTGGCTCCCATAGCAACACACTACCACACAGTATTGTACGAGAGAGCAATCAAAGGGAGATAACCATCATTCTTGCAAGTATGTTTAAAATATCATTTGATAACTGATTCACTGCTGTATAGAATTTACATTTTTGATGCCCTCTCCCATTTTTATTAAGCGGAGATGGAGGAGGGGTTGGGGGGAAGTGTAACCCCCGTAAATTCCATCCCTTGCTCTTTTCTCTTTTGTCAGATCTGAGTCAATGACATTGTTTTTTGTGACTTTAATTTTTTATCAGATTTTAATGAAACTTACACAAAGGTCAAATACAAGAATGCATTGAATAAATTCATATGCATTGTTGTTTTACAGATATTTTCCATTTTATAGAAATGACCAAATGATATTGTACTTTTTTTTAAATTTTAATGAACATCATTTTGATCAGTCACAATGTTTCATTGCCTGAGGCATGTAATCAGTTTTTGTTTGTTTGCTGTTATCGTATTTACCAGCAATCTAAAACCTTTATCAGTTAATATATATTCTCTCTTCCTTTTTTATATGTACTCGGTGAGAACAGGATAATTGTCTACTTGTAGATTCTGTGGAATGCGTGGCCTGGGATGTGTTGTTTTGATATAATTTACATGTTTACTTGTAGATTCTGTAGAATGTGGGGCCTGGGATGTGTTGTTTTGATATAATTTACATGTTTACTTGTAGATTCTGTGGAATGCGTGGCCTGGGATGTGTTGTTTCCAGTTTCTGTCATACACAACTATATACGACTGGTGAGCTATCATATTCTTTATTGTATGGTTGTATTACTAGTCATACAGAATAAATTGAGAATTGAACTTAAAGCCTTGAAATTTAAACACTTAATTTTTTACATCTGAAATTGTCTCAATGTGAGCTAGCAAAAACAAAAAAAGAACAAAAAAAGTTTTTAAAAATAATATCCTCATTTCTCCCTTTCATTCAAATTACAAATTATGCTTTTGGTACATGTAACACTGTCATTTCAAGTAATAATATTCAAAGGTTTCCAGATAATGAAACAGAAGTCATTTATGAACAAAATCTTGATAAGTATTTGAGAAGGGAGTTTTCAGTGTTATTAGAGATAAGGTTAGCAAAGATTATTAGTTATTAATTTTATATAACAATTATTGATGTTATGTTTCACAGCTGGAGCACTACAAGAGCGTTGTGTTTTACGGCCCAGAGAAGACAGGCAAGACATACCTGGCTCACCGACTAGCCCATCTCATAGCTGTAGGTAGTCCCCCCGTGTGGTGGACAGAGATTGGGGAAAATATTGTATTAATTCTACAAACCAAAAATCTGTTTTCAATTTAACTTATTTGAATCATCTGAAGGCTTAAAAGACATGTTCATGAAACTGCTTCTCAGAATGCTTGTTATTAAACTAAATTTTATAGTAGAAATGATGAAAAGATGAGTTAAAAGTTAAACCTTTGCTCAAAATCTCAATTTCATTGTACTGTATCATTTTAAATTTGAATTATATATCTGATATATGGTTTGTTGGCAGAGAAAAGAAAAGGAAAGTGGAAAGGTTCCTCAGATACACAGCATTGTGCTCCATGAGAGTTTCTGTCACCGTGATCTTGTTAACTTACTACAAAGTACAGGTAAGTAATGATGTATACAGAAACTTTACATCAAACAACATACTGGTCAGTCGTAGGCAATTGTTTAATAAGAGTACAGACAGATTTTCCTTCCATAGAAATGCACTGGAGAATTAATTTTGTTTAAGTTTTCGATGAAATAAATGTGATGTATGTAAAAGTAAAGCTTGATGATTTTCATTTAATTACCCAAGATTTAATCAAAAATAGCCGGCAACATGTATTGACCCTGACCTTTGCTAACTGACCTTGATCTTACAGGATGTATGGTGCGGGAGGGTATGGAGGCAGACGACCGTGCCCCAATCCTCATCCTAGATGACCTTGAGAAAGTGGATGTGGCTGTCCTCTTTGGGAAATTACTGGGAGCAATTGAACACAGGGGACAATTCCATACATTTACTGTTGAGGGTAAGGAGATACAGTAGGTCAAAGGTTTACTGTTTAGGTCAAAGTTCACTGATTTCATAAGTAGGTTCTGTTGGTCATTTTTTTTTCTGTTGAGGTCAAAGGTCACTGAAATACTGTTTGCTGGAACAAATTTCACTGATAATTTGCTTAACACTAGTTTTGCTCTTCACATTCAGTGACTGAAATTTAGTGTGCTGCCTATTAAAATTAGCTGACAAGATAAATGCCCTCATTATGGAAAGTGAAAAAGGTGAAAATTAAACTGCACGAAAGTTTCCTCGGATACAGTTGTGATTTGATACTGTAGGTCATTGTTCACCGACACATGGAAGACTGGAGGTCGTGTAGGTCAAAGTTTACTTATGGATGGGGCGTAGAGAATTGTTTGTTTCATTGACCTGGTTTTATTTTCTTCTCAATTCGTTGATCCCTCAAAATCGTTAATCTACTTCTATTATCCGTTTAAACCTATGCAATAACATTCAGCTATAATGTAAAAATGACTTTAAATTTTGTTTACAATTGATCCTGTATGAGTGCAGTAACTGTTGATGAAAATTTGTGTTGATTTATTTAGGAGACGATCAGGCTCGATTCTATTTCCTGGATAGTTTCTACATCATTGCCAGTATGAACAAGTCGAGGTAAGTGAACTGCTTCATGGACGGATAGCTAACTTAAACAACTACCAAAGTAGAAACGTTGAGGTCGTGTATTGCTGATACTGATTATCTAATTTGGCGCTGATTGATGCAGATCAAGATTGTGATGTATGGAATAAAACACGTAACAAGGGGTGTTATTGTTTATTTTCAGATCCACAGGATTAGATTTGAACATACAACAAAGATTTCGCTGGGTACATTTTCGGATAGATATTGAGCCAATTCGTAACTTGTTAGCCAGACATCTTCTCCGTAACTTGATCCACATCGGTGACGGTCAGTTACCTGTTATGGACAATATGATGTTTCGCGCAGTGGAGTGGATTGTTTGTGTATGGCAGAGACTTAACGATGGTGTGGCAAAGCTCGGCTTACCCGACGTTATGTTTGGTCCATACCAGTTCATCATGTGCCCACTTCACTCCCAGGATCCAAACACTATCTACAACTGGCTGTCAGGTCTGTGGAACAACCTCATAGCACCTACGGTCAAGGTCGCTGTGGTCAAGGGCACTGGCAAGGACACATCATCCGACGGTCAACAGAAGGTGGCTAACACAGCCCTGTATGTCCTCATGCAGAAAGCCGTGGTACCTGGCTGTCCACTCTCTGGTCCAGGTAGGTCAAATGAGACTCGGTCAGAGATTTAGAGAAAACCATTCATCTTTAATAAAAATTGATATAATCTTGATCATATATTTAACTACAATTAAATAAAGATTTGTGTCTTTTTTATGGTATAAAAGCTAACTACAGCTTGCATGTTGTCAGATTTAAACAAGATATTCTCTGTACACCTTCAGTGTGCAACATAGAACTAACGTGCTTTGACAATTAATGGAATTATTGAATTTAAGTGGATCTCCTTTGGTAATTAGGGTCCTGTATCAGAGCCCTATAGTAATTACTGTGTTCCTCTGTTTGTTTGTCTATCCATCCACACATTCATTTTCAGAGATTATCACTGATTCATTCCAAAGGACTAATCTTTCTGAATTTTGACTAAGTAATGCACTGTGATATGTAGATGTGCAATAGGGTTTGAAAAGTTTCTGAGTTCAAGGTCACTTAGTAAAAGTAGACCATATGGGTTACATTCTGGCACATGGCAGGGCCCTTGCTGACCTGGCAGTGTTCTGGCTGCTGAGAAATATACAGTAGGTTATAATGTATGAAAATTGCTAAATATTCTTTCCACGTTTGGCAGGTAAGGAACAGTACCTGTCTATGTTTGCGGGCAGTAATGAACTCGACATTCCTATGAAGCAGGAGAAGATGAAGGCGAGTAACTCCCCTCACCACCGAAGGTCCCTCGACTCCTCCAAAGGCATGTTCAACAGAATAAAACATAGGTGAGCAAACTATTCAAGAGCAAGAGTTATTTCCCTTTGACTGGGTGCCTGTGTTTGGGAGACTTTGATTACAGGCAAGAAAAGATTTAAAAGTACTGTTAAACTTATGATAAATCTACAATCATATATACACTTAATTTTGAGGTAAGGTATTGTTATGAATGATGAAATATGCATCAATACTTTTCAAGAATTATTGAAATATTTGTTTCATGTTAAGGGTATCTTGATATTCTAAAAAAAAAATGATTGTTAGACTTATGCTTTTTAGCTTGTTAGGTCCCGAAGCCTAAAGATTATATCCAATAATGCTTATGAGCTGTTGTTTCAGGCTGAAATTTAAACAACTTATTTGTTTTTGTTCGAAATGTTTTAAACTGATTGTTCTTTCGATGTTTTCTATAATGACAGGAATTCTTATGACACTGCCAGTCGGGACCAGTCACAAGTACAGCCTCATCCAAAACGTCGTAGTCTGTCGGAACTGTCTAATAGGTCACAGGAGGATTACGACACAACAGATGCAAGAGCGGAGGAGGGAAGTAACAGTTCCCTGGCTAAAGTTCCCAAGCTGGAGATCCGTTCCCCAGTCCTTTCCATACCCTTCCCTGCTCCAGGTTCAGCACCAGTTCAAACCTCTGACCGTTCACAAACAGCACCTGTCTTCACTTCAAATAATTCCGGATTGACCTCTGAGCGTGGTGTGCGATCATTTTCCATGTCCTCACAATCTTCCTCTCTGTCGAGTGGGAAGAAATTCACGTCTCATTTACCAATTGCAACGCGAAAGTCTCGGTCTTCGGAGAATCTGTCATCAACATATGGCTCTGGGTCAAGTCACAGTCGAATGACTCCTCATCTCCGGTCACCAAGTCCATTCTCATTTTCGTTAACAACCCCTACCTCTGCTTTAAATTCTTTCAAATTCCTTGAGGTGAAATCAAGAGCAGAAGTGACCCAGACCAAGCGTGGGTCACGTAGAAGTTTGGACTCTTCTTTAGCTCAACCTCGAAAGATTCCAGAGCCTTCCAAAACCCATCTTGCCTCAGGCTTTCATCATCAAGAAAGTCATTGCTGATCAGCTGTATTAACTTCTCATAACAAACACTCATATGATTTGGATTTCCACAGTCCAGTTTTTATTTTCGATTCAAAATAGGGCTTATTTCAGGGAAAATGACTTATACATTATAATATATTCTGAGTTAAAGTTTGAACTGTATCGCTACTGTTAAACACTTACCTGGGGTATATTTTGTGAAGAATTAAATATTGTGGCAAAAAAATGTAATAAAAATATAGAGCTTGCAAATTCTCTAATAGAGATTTAGTCTGAACAGTTGACCATCAACAGAGTTGCTCAAACTTAAAATTCGTTCCAAGAAGAAAACTTTCAAAATGTTTGTCCTCTCCCAACCTCAGTGTAAAAAAATTGTTCTATAGTATTATTCTGCTCTTTATAAAATATGACAGTCTGTTTTTAGGTCACCTGAGACAAAGTCTCAAGTGACCTATTGCGATCGCCTTTTGTCCGTCGACGTCCGCCGTCCG